TATTTATAACAAATAAAATAGTATTATCTCTAAGAAACTTACATTTTTTTAACTTCACATGTTTTTTTGTAATATGCACGTTCGAATGCAGGTAAACGTCGGAATCGTTTATTTGTTAGACTTGAACGAATACCTTTGGCTTCATTATAATGTTCATCAACAGTACTAACTTGTTCTAATAATTTAGGCATTGCACATTATTATAAATAATAATCAATATTCTATTCTCTCTAACCAGTGACTTTTATTCGCTATCTACAACTGATGAGAAATAGACAATTACATCGCCTTTTATGTATGGAATATGGTAAATGATATGAATTTACCCAACGAAATTACAATCTTTCGCAATATTATTGCGTATATACAACAACATGAAATTTAAATTACTCCTACACACATTGAGTTGAGTCATATATATGTCATATGTTGTCTAGAGAGGTCGCTTGTTCAAAAACATTTATATTATCTATTAAGATCTATTCATATGATTTAATTGGAGGAAAATAAAATATTATTAACTTAATTTTATTTGATCTTTAATTTATTCTTTAATAAGATTAGAAATCCTTCGTTGCCAAGCAACTTATACTACTAATGGATGTAAAACAAAAATACACATACATTAGAGAAACAGTTTTTTTTTCTGTAAGTAGCAAGTGTTGAACCTTAGTTTTCATCATGCCATCAGGTGCTCGAGTTAATGAGCAATATCAATATAAATTATCTACATCGGAACAAATTGAAGAGTTACGTAAAAAACGTGAACTCTTAGGTATAGTCATTACAAAATAAATAATATTAAATTCACATTTCTATGGATTTTAGCTGGTAGTCAAGAAGCTTATACTGAACAAGTTGATTTACAAATTGATAAAAATAAACGAAAAATTGCTCAATTACAAAAAGATAATAAAGAAAAACGACAAAAACTTAAAGAATTACTCGAAGTAAGTTTAATTAATGGTTAATTTTTATATCTATTTTTTATGATATAGGGTGATGAAAAAGTACTAAATGAAGCATTTAGTGGTCGAAAAGAGGAACGAGCAGCATTGAAAAATAAATCTGGCCAAGTAAATTTTTTCTTTTTTTTATTATTTTAAATATTAATTTCAATAAATAAATATTCAGGCAGCTATACAATTAACAAATCAACAATTAGGTGATTTGAAAAATCGTCTCAATTCTCAACGACATATAAATGTAACAAAATCAAAACAACTTGAAGAACTTCAAACACGTTATAATGCTATGAATAAAGAAGCTGAAGAAGCAGTTGCAACCGATGCTGGTGAATCAGAAACAGCAGCTGTATGTATAATCATCTTTCTTTAATATCACTCACATATCTGTCCAACGGCGAATTTAAGAGGGATGCGATGGCACCCTTTCTCAAAAAGTTTAATTTTTTCCAGGAAAATGTTCTGACAATAAGTAGATGAGATGTCGAATGCCGGCGACCACATGCCTTTTGATCGGAATCGCACCCCTTCCCTAACAATCCTAGATCTGTCCTATCGTGTATATTGTTTTGCGTATTGAAGACTTGCGCCCATTGATAAAATTCCATGAGTCACTATTGAATTTGTTCAACGTAGAGTTTGTAGTAAAAATATACATTTATCTATTTGTAGCGTCTTCGTCAACTTGAAAATCGTCTTGATAAAGCTGAATTAAAATGTACAGAAGCTGTAACTATTCAAAGAACATATAATCAAATCAAATCACATTTAATTCAAGAAAGTTTAACATATGCAAATCGTCTCGATGCTATGTCAGGTCAAATTCGACGTACACAAGATGAATTAGCTGAAGCACAACGTAGTTCATTTGAAGCTGAATTAGCACAAAAAAATGCTAAAAATGAATTAAAAAAAAGTGAAGATAAAGTTTATCGAGAACGTAAAGAACGTGAATTACGTTTAAGTGAATTAAAAGCTGAAGCTGAAGAAAAAAAATTACATGCTGAACGTATTGATCGTCGTGCACTTCAACGTCCAACAAGTCCACAAGAAGATTCAAAAGATAAATTATCTGAACAAGATCAAACTAAAGTTGATATGTATGAAAATGCATTTTCACGTATTAAAGAGGCAACAGGTGCAAGTTCAATGCAGGTTTGTTAATTGTTTTTTTTATTCTTAAAAAACCCAAAGTGTATTTTTCAAGGAAGTTGTTGATCGATTTCAAACACAAGATAGTACAACAGCACATTTAGAAAAACTGAAAGAAGATGCTGAACAAAATGTTGCAAAATTACGAGATGAAAAAGCACGTTTAAATAAAGAATTCGAAGAAATGAAATATAGTGGTGAAGCTAAAACATCAAGGTAAAATTGTCTTTTGATTATATATATAAAAGAATTTTTTTTTATTAAAGTGGCCAAACAATTCTTGATCAAGCGCGTGAAAAACTTGATGAAAGTGAAAAACGACGTGATGATAATTCAGTTAAAATGGAAAAAACATCCAAGAAAATGATTGAAGTTAAATCAGGTGTTGAACATTTAGCAGATAAATTACATCATCTTAAAGGCGTATGTTTTATTTATTTTTTATTCTTTAATTTAATTTTTGTTTGTATGTAGACAAAAAGTCAAGTTGCAACAACGGTTATATCACCACAATCGAATGATTATGTTCTTGATTTACTTGGTACAACAGAAGAAAAACTTGTTAAACTTATTGAAGAACTTGACGCGAAAGATTTAGATGGAACATTGAAAGAAATGAGACAATTAGATGTAAATATTTATATAATATTGATATATTTTTAATACAATTCCAATCGTTTAGCTTCAATATTCTGGTGATGGTAAATTGCCTGTGTACAACACGCGTATTAATCCTCCATCAACTGTTAAAGGAAATATTTATGGTGGTATGTATATTTATTTCTAAATAATATTCGAATCTATATATATATATATGATTTGTAGATGACGATAATGCTGGTGAAGATAATCCAGAGTGTCAATCACGTGAACGTATTAAGATGATTGGTGAAGATTTAATTGGATTAAAAACAAAACGTATGAAGAAACCAAAAGGAAAGAAATAAGAAAATCGTTGTCGGACATTTTGTTTTTCGGTTTCTTTTTATGGAAAGAAAAATATTCCTATTTTATCTATATTAAACTAAATTCTTTCGTAGTAGCAAATTTTATTTAGAAAACAAAGCAATTTTAGAAATGAATCAATCTATTATTGAATAATATAACAGAACTTAACAATCGCTGTAAGTGTAGATAAGTACACAGATTAATTCAAAATAGAGCGTTAATCAAATAGTTTTGATAAACTAACAGAAGTACCGGTCGTTGCCCGGGAAATTGAGGATATGCCTGCATATGACATATATATTACTGACATCCACACAGTGGCGGATCTAGGATTTTGGAAGGGGAAGGGCGATCACTCTCATCGCTCCCCCCCCCCCCTAAATCCGCCACTGCATCCACCATTCTTATATTTTTCAATAGATTTAAATTTGAATGATAATATAATCGTTTGAAATTTTATTTCTCTATTCTGCCAGATTATTTTCATATTATTAAAAATATAATATAAAAAAATAATTTTCTTTTGAGCTTGTAAATCAAACGTATAATGATCATTTATTATATGGATACCCATCGATATTGATTTGTATAAAATAACAATAAAAATGTTCTTCTTCTTGTTATTGTCAGTCCATTCCTGTTACACCTTCGAATAATTTATTAAAACATTTACTTTGTGGTTCATTAAAATGACCATATGGATTCGTTTTGGATAATGATCGTAAACATATCCAACAAAAATATGAATGACATTTACTACATGTCATTTTATTACAACCGTCCAATTTCTAGAAATAAAAAGCAAATGAGAATTTGATTCATAAGTATCTCTGTTATACATACATCAACAAAAATAGAACATTGAGGACATTGTCGAGCAGTAGCTCGAATTGCTTCCACAGAAGCCATATCATCCATAAAACGATTAAAAAATTTACCATATTTTTGTTCAAGTGCTAATCGTTCTTCTGCACTTGCATTTTGATAATCTTTGTAAATATCTTGTAATTGATCTAAATATAAATCATATATATAATTTGTTTTTTCTTTGATTTTAATTCGTATAACATACGTGCTGAATATTGACATGGATTAACTCCATGATAAGTTCTTCCACACAAAGTACAAAATACAAATGAACATGTTGCACATTCACCTAATGTATTATCTAAATGATTATCAGTGTTGTTAGTTATAATAACAGGTTTTTGACAACGTGGACAATAAATAATATCATCCATAGCATCAATTGATAATTGAAATAAAAGACGATCATAACGATGAAATGTTTGTTTATCAACAACTGATGCTATTTGAGTTGGTGTTAATTCAATATTACATGTTGGATTTACTGGACATGTTATAGATTTAACTTGTCCATCAGTAATTATTGTTTCAAGATATGATTTAATACATGATTTACATGCTGTACCTGAACATACATAACAGAGAAAACAATCATGACCATAAACATCATTAACACATATAGGACATGTTATTACAGAACGTGAAAGAAGAATTGTTTTTCTCTCACGTTCATAATCATGAATGACTGCTGCAACTTGCGTTGAAGTTAATTGTGGTTTTATTGACTTAGATACTGTCGAAGAAAATGATAATGTTAAATCAAGTTTTGTCGTTATATTAAGCCATTCAAGTGCTTGTGTATTCAATGATGTATACCAAAGAAATAAAATTGGTTCGTTACTATTATCCAACCACATATTCTTTAGATTTTCTGACAAGATTTGTAACTAAAAAACATTTCTTTATTATTTACGAATAGCAATAATATTGTTTTTACCTGTTCGCTACTCATCCATATACATTCCAATTCGAAAGATGGTGATGATACAGATGGATAATCATTTGGTAAAGTAAAACGAAGATAGATTGGTGGTAAATATTCTACACGACGACGTTGATCTATGTTATATTATTATAAACATATATTAAATAAGAAAACATTCATCTATCTATACTTGTATGATATTCGATATAAAATTCATCTGGTAATGATACTTCAATGACAAGAGTACCATGTGTTGTTTCAGTTTGTTGTTCTATTTCAAATGCTGTTTCATCAAGAATACTCGTTAATGCATCAAGTTCATCTCGTTGCACTTCAGGCGTCGCAGATGACATTACCAACAATCTTAAAAAAAAATAGAATAAAACTCGTCTTTAATAATTATTATATTCTTACTCATACGAGAATTATTTTAAAGACTAAAGAAATATTTTTTATGTTGTCTAAAAAATAAAACTAAAATTATTTATTTACTTGAATATACAAAAAATAATGAATGATAGTAAAAACAAAGTGAAATGCGCATTATGTAAACTCCCTAAGATTCATTTTTATATGATAAAACCTTTCGAAATAACTGCGTCATAATTGAAACATTATGTTGGAAATATACAATTCTAGGAATTGTGAATGACCTTCATTAATTTTTGAAGGATAAATGTAACAAAAAAATTTTTTTATTAAAGAATAAATTATAAAGAAGACTATTATACACTCTATTCATACAAATACGAGATATTTCTGTATAAATAATCTTGATGAAATAATTATGCTGTGGGAAGTGATTGATAATCTATACAAGATTTATTATAATTATTTGAAATATGAATAGAAATTCTAGACGATTTTTTTAAATCAACAGCTACATTTTTTATACAGATGTAATAGATATTCTTATATGCGTAATGTACACATAAATAGATGCGATGATGGTTAGAAAATACTACGAATTACTGGAAATTTCGATAGATGGTGTTAGATATGCATCCTCATACTTCCAAAATACTATTATAGACAAAACTCATAACCACATTTATAGAAAGACGATAAAGAACCTTGTTGTAGATAGATGAGAGATATGCGAAAATCGTTGATTTAGAACGTTCAACATTTTATACTAGATCACATACGATATTATACAGACTTTGAAAGCTTAATCATTGAAGTACTTCATCGCATTTAAGACTTTTTCATTTTGCTATGGAAAAAACCCAGTCGTCACCAGTCTTCTTAGTCATTTAAACTCACTATCGATCAGACTATACAACGCCATTGCTAAACTTTGAAAAATAAGACGGGAAGAAAAAAGAACTGGGGTGACTGGTAAAATCCCGATTTTTTACCAATCACCTCCAGTCCTTTTTCTTCCCGTCTAATTCTTCAAAGTTTAACAATAGCGTTGCATAGTCTAATGGATACTAAATTTAAATGACTTGAAGGACTGGTGCATACCTATTCATAGATAATCATACAATAAATAAAAGTATCAAGATTTTATTATCAGTTAGTTCTTACAATAAATTTTAAAAAACGGAAAATGAAAAAGAATATTTTCTATTTATTTATTTTTTTCAAATGCTGTACGCATATAATGCAGATATCACATGATATAGACTAAAATAAATCAATTTGTCTTTGTTTTTATTAAATTTTTATTTTTTGTAATGCTATAAAATGTATTTAATAATCCAACAATAACCAATCGTGCTAAACCAACAGTTAAAGATTGTGATATAAGTTCTAATGTACTTGTTATTGGTTGAGCACCACTTGTTAAACATTCTAATAAAAATCCATTAATACCAAACCAACATGAAAATGAACCATTTTGAGTTGATTTTATTATTTTTCTTGCAACTTCTTCTGCTGATAGAACACCTGATGTTTCATTGATTAATTGTGTTTCAAT